AATACAATTTTAGAAATGGGTTTTTAAACATAATAAGACTATATTAACTTCTCGATATCTAGACAGAGTTTAAATGTGACTATTTATATTTAAGATCCTATTTTATTATTATTTTATATTTAATCTTATTATTATTACAGGTTAAGGATTTGCATGAAAACTTGACGAAATAAGAGACATTCAAAAGCAAATTATTTTACGTGAAATTTTCACCCATATCCTTAAAATTTTGGGATGTTTTTAGGTATAAGTTTAAGTTGAGGTTTCTCATTTTAGGGTTTCAAAGTTTTGGGGTTTTGGGTTCTAAGATTTTGAATTTTAGGGTTTCAAATTTTAGGGTTTTGAATTTTAGGGTTTCGAGTTTTAAAGATTTTATGGTTTTGAGGCTTCAAGGGTTTTGAGGGTTCTCAATTTTTTTAGAGAAAATGAGAATCATTGATAACTCAAACTTCGTCAATTATCCCTAACATTTAGGTGGACTTTCGAAGCAAATTTGGTTTTCATAATTCTCTTTTTTCTTGACAATTTTATATTAATGCAACATGAAACAAATAAATTATGCAAATGAAAACTAAAAATTATCTTGACAATTTTATATTAATGCAACATGAAACAAATAAATTATGCAAATGAAAACTAAAAATTAAAACAACCAATTTAATAAGTTTTATGCATATTTTGTTCCTATTTATTTATTACCATTTTTTTTCTAAAAATTAAAAGTGAAATTAATTTTATTTGTTATTTAATTTACTTGTGAAAATTTTTACTTTATATTTTAAATTCTAATTTAATTTACTTAATTAATTTTTATTTTTAATTCTTTAATTCTTTAAAATCTAGGCAAAATTAAAATTTTCAAAACATAATTTAAATTCCTTTCAACATTTAGATAGGGTTTTCAAAGTCATTTCATTTCATTAAAAAAAACTTTTATTCCATTTTAATTTCTAAAACTCTCTTTCTAAAAAACATTTTAAATTTAAAATTATCTGTTTTTTTAAAATAAACTTTTGTTTGCAAGCAATTCATAATAATATCATAATATCAAACATTTATAAACAAATTAGCATAAATAAAAATACCAAACCTATGATAAAATAAATAAACAAAACAAAAAAATAAAATAAAATGTACCTCAAAATAAAGTTTTGGATTAGAATCCAAAAGGAAATTCATCGCCTAAAAGACCTCTAAATAGGTTGAGCCACTAGTAAAACTAAGTTATTTCTTTTTTCCCCTCTTTTTTTGTTTAAAGCACATTTTTTTTTCTAGTTAAACTTTTTTTTTTTAGACTTTCCAAAGCTTTTTCTTTTGTTGGCTTTTCAAAGTTGTTTTTTTTTCACTTTTCAAAAGCTAAATTTTCTTTTTTTTTCTCTACGTTTCAAAGGTTTTTCTTTTTAACTTTTTAAATTTTTTGACTTTTAAAAATTTTTTATTTGACTTTTCAAAAAATTTTCTTTTATTTTTCAAATTTTTTTTACTTTGCTTTTAAAACCTATCTCTCTCTTTTTTTTTTTTTGGCATTTCAAATCCTTTTTTTTTAAATCACTTTTTTGACTTTTTAAATCTCTTTTTTTTTCTCTTTTTTCTTCTTTTTTTTTTCTCTCTTCTCTTTCTTTCTTTTTTTTTCTTCTTTACTTTTCTCCTTCCCCACTTTTTAGACTTGATGCCTACTTTTTTTTTCTTTTTTTTTTACTTACTTTCTTTTTCTTCTACTTTTTCTCTCTTTTTCCCTTCTTTTTTTTTTCTTCTCTAAAAGATCTCTAAAAAATATAAACCCTTTGACATTAAAAAAATCCATATTCCCATCTTTGATTTTTTTCTTTTTTTTTTGGTTATTGTGGCGCTAATTCTTATGGCTTAGGTTTATTGAGATTTTTTTTTTTTTTTTGCAAAAAAGAGAAAAAAATGAAAAGGTTTCTTTGATTTGAGAATTTTTTTTTGATGGATGACTTTTTTATTATGGGAAGGCCAGGGTTTTAGTACAAGCTTGGTATTGGTGCTGGTTTTGGCACGGGCAAGGATGCAGGTAAATCTATGTGTTGCTAAAGGTTGGCTGGGGTGTTGGTACAGAGGTTGTGTTATGGTTTACTTGGTTTTTTGGTTAGAGTGTAGGGGTTTGGTTCTAGGCGGGTGCAGGGGTCGTTTTTATTTATTGAAATCTCGAGCCATGGGGCTGTGGTGGTGTTTTACATAGGTTATGATAATGGTTTACAGTAGTGGTGATTGACGATACTAGGGGATAGCCTGATGGTTGGTGATGGTATGGTTTCTAGTATAGAGGTTTGGGGATTAGTAGTGGTGCAAGTGTGAGAATGGGTGCGTATAGTGAGATGGGTAGTCACGATGGTGTGAAGGTTGAGTGTGGTGAGTGTGGAATAAGGTGCTTGGCACTGGTGTGATTTGGGATAGGGCTAAAGTAGTATGTGTTCAGGGTTTGAGATTTTTGTTTGAAGTTTTTTTTAGTAACTAAATGGTTTTTTTTAAAGGGAAGCCCTTTTTTGTTTGAATGGTCCCTAAAATATAAATCGTTCTTGTTTTCTTTTTCAATCCTATTATTTAGCCATAAGTTAATCGTCTTAGAATTGTTTTCTTAAACTGGTATGGTAGAAGTGCAACAATAGCTATTGACGTTTTGGGACTAGTGAAGCATGTTGCTTTTGAAACATTGAGTTTTTGATGAAAGTATGATAGGGTCAGTAGGTAAAAACAAGAGTAAAAATCAGAAAGCTTAAAATGGTAAATGGTAGAATTGGGGGAGGAGAAAATCAATGAATTTGTGTTAAAATCAGATAAAGCATATGGTGAAAATAGAAAAGCTAAGAATGATACCCAATTTGGAGTCAACGGTCTGAAAAAAATTGACATCGTTATTGAGCCACAATATTGGCTTTTCTTGGATTTTAAGGTAATTTAATTAATAATAAAAAAATGGCTTAGGCTTAAAGGGTGAATTTGATTTAAGCACCAAATTGGGCTCAAATTAAAACTTACAATTAGGCTTGAAAATCGATTGAGATCTATTTATCCCGGACAAAATTAGGTATCCATAACCCTTATAAAATGTAAGAATCTATTTAGGCATGTAAATGAGTTGAGCTGATATAGTAAAATTTGTTATTCGAAACTTGATTCGAGCTCAATTGAATTTTAATTTTTAAATTCGAGCTCCACTTAAGATAAAAATTAAATTATTCGAGCGCGTTCGGTTATGCTTGTTTAAAAAAAATGAACGTAATTTTTATTCTCGATTTCAAACTCGATTATATATTCAAATTCATATTTAAATTCAAACTTAAGCTCGAATTAATATATATATATATAAGTAAAATAGTAATTTTTAATTAAAATAATAAAAATATATTAATTTTAAAAATTCAATCAGACTTGTGAATTACTCAAGCTAAATATTATAATGCTTAAATTCGTCTCGCTTGATAAATCAAATTGTTCAAGTTCAAGCTTGACTCGATAATGATTGAAAGTTCGAGTATTTTACAAGTATTGATGTATCATTTATGCTTTTGAATTTATTTAAATTATGATTATGGTTTATTTTTAACCTTTCGTTTTGTATTAGTTGCAATTGTTAGGGTTTCTTTCCTTGGATAGCAAAATGAAGAAAATAGTGGAAGAAATTAAACTATTTAATTCAATACCTCAGATTCATGAATGAAATGTTTTGGAGTCCAAAATTGTCGTTTAATTCAGTTTTTTTGAATAAGCCCTTTGCAAACTGTGAATAATGAGTCTGGCTTTTAGATTAGCGTGAACTTTTGGAACCTTTTCTGGTATTATTCTGATCCTAGCTTTCCACTCCTAAAATGCTTTCATAAGCTTTATGTTAAATAGGAGTGATCATGTGAATGATCGGTTAATTTCGAATTAAATTATTTAAAATTAAATTAATTAAATTATATTTTTGTTAATTAAATTAAAATTTTTTATTTTAAAAATTAACTCATTGAAATTAATTCAATCAATTCAATTAATTTTTTTAATTAATCAAAAATAAAATATATTAAGTTAAATTATATTTTAAATTCTTAATTTATTATATCTAAAGCAATTTAAATAAAATCATCTAATAAAAATATTTAAATACCAAAGTATTAAGTTAAAAACAATAAAATGAATAATTTTATATATTTTTAGTTTTATATATAGGTTTATTATATTTCGATTAAAATTTTAATTAATTCGAATTTTTTAATCGAATTAACTGAAATTTAAAAATTTTTCAAATTTATTTTTGATAACCAATGGATTAATCAAATTTAATTGGTTTGGTCAATTAATTCCGTTAAAACCAAATTTTGTACACCGCTAATGTTAACTGTTTGTCTAAATGTTGTTCTAGATCACAAATGCATTCTTTCTGGAAATTATTATAGCAATTCATGTTCTATAACGTTTGACGTTCATGTAGATCATTCCAAGTTGGGAGAGAGAAGTTTGTCTTTCCATGTCTTTTTTCTGATAAATCGTAAGAGATTGGAAGTTCCGATGTTTGATATGCTTTGGTAAGATAACTTTATAGTTTTACCCCTCGCTTTGGGAAATTTTAACTTCCTAGAAAATCATGTTTCTTGGAGAATGTTTCAGTGTATTTTGCTTGATTTGAATTACTTCTTGTGGTTTTCAACTTCTATGTTATTCAGAGGTACTCAGGGGGTGATTTTCATGTCGTTACTGCTAAATTTGTGGATGTGCCTCATCATTGTATGCAACGTTATCTTACTTTATGTTTCAATTTAGTACTAGTTTGCTAAGAAATGTAGATGTACCTAATCATGCTTGAAGATATGCTATTCTTTCTTTACTAAATTTATTTAATATGATTCTCTTGGGTATCCGTGGAACTTGATTTGATCAAGCAAAAATAGTTTAAATGATTTCTACTTGTTACAAGTGGCACACGTTTCTTACCCCATATAAAAGAATAAGAGGGCAATTGTCCCAGACTATTTCCTGAAACGTAGGGCACCGTATAGTCTTTGTACTTCTTTTTGTCTATATAGTCTATTGAAGTAAGAGCTTGTTCAGAAATTATAACATTCTACAACATTTTTAGAGAATTGGTGGTCAAATTTGTTCATGAATCAGGAGAGATGGGAGGATTATTGCTTTGAAATTTGATCCACAGAGTTGTTGGGCTTTGCGACTTGGGTATTTGTGAATTTTGAACAGAGATTTTTTTTCCATTTTCATTAGTTTCAGAATGGCATATCCAGTGCTTCAAACAGATCATAACAGTTACATTTATTTCTTTTCCAGTGAGTTGACTGGAAACTCTTATTATTTTGACTTTCAACAGATGTTGAAATTCATCCAAACATTCGTAAACAATTCTGGAATCCTCAACAATGGCCAAAACATGTGCTTGTCGGATACACCTGGTCAGTATACTTGTTTGTTTGTCGAAATCTTTCTCTTTCTCTCTCTTTTTTCCTTTTTCATTTGGCTGGTTTTGAATTTAGTCATGCTTTTAAGTTTTCAGAAACTTGTTGAAAATGATATTACGATTTAAAGTAAAGCAGAGAGATGGTTGTGATGGTTATATGACAAGGAGGAGCAATCAGAGATTAAAGTGACATTGTTATCAGTAGCTGCAGCAGCACTCATCATTACATAGTTTTTCAATTTAAATAAGTTTTTCCTCATATTTGTTTTACTAGTGTATGTGAGGACATTGATCCTCCCCTTGGTCAAGACTTAAGATAGAGTTGAAGTGAATGAGCCATTTTTCAGGCTTTTAACCTTGTTCTTACTGGTTGATGAAGTCGGAGGACTATATGATTCATTAGAAAAGGGCACAATAGTTACTTTCTTTTGTATAATAGAATTATTAATCACTCATTGGATTTATTTAGGATATTTTTCATTAAGTGATTTATATGAATTATTAATCTTTCTTTCTCTGAATTTCTCCCTTATTCATATGGTTTTCTATTTAAAACGCAAAAATGATTTAAGCGCAATAATCACATCAAGTGTTACTTTTACCCAAAGCTTTGCCATATTGTATTTTTTAACCAAAATGCATCAATCCACAATATTAGCGTATGCTCTTCGATCCCAATAATTAATGATGCACGTAAGTACGATGATATTAAGGTTATGCAGCTCTTTTATGTGGATTATTATTATCAGTAGCTACAGCAGCACTCATCATTACATATTTTTTCAATTTAAATAAGTTTTTCCTCATATTTGTTTTACTAGTGTATGTGAGGACATTTTTCCTGCCCTTGGTCAAGACTTAAGATAGAGTTGAATTGAATGAACCATTTTTTAGGCTGTGAACAAAAGGAAATCATATAGTCCTAATAAGAAGATGAAGCAGTTTCCTCTTGATTGAGATCCTTCAAATATGACCATTCCTAAAAGTGAGTGAGCAAAACAAGAAAATGTTCACAAAGATGGTTAAAAATCTGAATCATATGCTAGTGCATTTGACTCTCCTTGAATATATATGGTTCCATATCACTGCAATTTCATCATTATCTCTTGACTTTTTTAGCCCAAATCCTTCTCTTAAATTATATCCTTTTAAATATTCACGTAATTTCTATATCAAATCCTTCTCTTAACGAGTTTATCATATCAGTTGGATTCAAAGTTTGATGAATTTGTAACATTTTAAATGTCAAGATTATGTTGAATTAATGTAATTAAAATTTGTAGGGTTTTTTATGTAAATAATTCACCAAGAATCATTTGGAAATGAGAAATGCACTCTTTTTAATCCATATCTTAACTCGATCGATTTAACAATTTTTAAGAATCATCATACTTACATTTAGATTCTGTAATCATTTTTTTATCTCTAAATCGTGATTTTTTTTGCATAAAAAAAAATGAATGATTTTAGAAAAACTAAACAAATCCCTAGAAAAAGAGCTTTCCACTTGTATAATCCATAATCACCTTTAATTTTACAAGAACAGGAAGATTTCAAGGGTTCATGTATCCTATAAGAGGTGAAAGGCCACCAAGAAAGAAGAAGGGGTAAAAAATAGTGAAAGGCCTCATCATGTGAAGACCATTTACTGAACATATCACCTATTTGATTGAATATTACTAAATTAAATAGGTTTCTCAAGCACTTTAAATTATTTTTTTATCATATTCAAATTGCGTGAAGAGAAATTAAACCATTCCTCAAAATAAATAGGCATAACCTCGTCAGTGTCAAAAGATTTAATCATGTCGTTTCTGAAAGTATTTCTCAATTGCATAACATTGATCAGACAGGATGATTAAACTGAGCTTACACAAAGGAATTAGGAAGGATTGATGAGTTTCTAATTTATCAAATGATGAGACACCATAATTTAGTTTATAAATGTATTCTAATTAAGCAGCCAATGGCTGCAGGCTATTGTGCTATACATTGGCAAAAGTCATCATGTTGTTAAAGCACATTACTTGTACCTTTGAAATACCTTTTAAAAAGAAGAAAAAAAATCCCTTGTCCCATATAATGCAACAAGTAAGATCAAATATACCTCTTCACATTAATGATGTAATTTTGAATCCTCAGCTTTCATTAGGTTTACTTATGATATTGTAAATATTATACATAATGCATGCAAAGCATTTTTTTCTATCTAAATTTTACGCATAGGTATTTATCATAACGTATAGATCCATGGACCTATCGTTATACTTGAAATATAAATGAGTCACCATCAATCTTTTTTGGTTAGGTGTGATTGGCTACTTGATTTAAGCTGATCTGCAAAACAGAAGTTAAATTCGGAAGTCAATTGCGCATGAAAAATATTGTAGCACCCCCAAAACGCCTATTTAAAGGATAGTTACCGGTTTGATTTCAAATTATCCAAGCTTTGCTTATATTTTTTTATTTACCAGATAGCAAATTTTATACTTCCCCCTTTTTAGAATTTTTTTTTTAGAAAAGACAGAATAATTTTTTCTTTTTTCTTCTTTTTTTTTTTGAAAAAGATAGAATAATTTTTTCCTTTTTTTCTTAAAAAAATAAAAAAATAAAAAATAAGATATGGTTAAAAATAAATTAAAAAAATAAAAAAAATAGAAAAAAAAAAACCTGCGGTCGAATCAAGACGTGGGCCAGCATGCGGGCGTTCGGGTCAGCGTGCGAATCTTGGCTCACTAAAACAACGTCGTTTCAGGCAACTATATAAGCCAATTTCCACGCCTTTCTTCATAAATCTTTTTGCTCTCTCTCTATAGATCGAGAAGCTCTGCCTTCTCTTTAGAAATCTCTACCAGAAACTTCAATCGAAGCCAAAAAATTCATCGATTTCTAAAAAAGTTATTGAAAAATTCAACCAAAAACTGAAAAACCATCGGCTTTCTGGGAAGTTGGCTAGAATGTGATCGAAAAATTCAACCGATCGTCGGAAACTTAATCGAAAAATTCATATTTTGCTAGAAAACTCAACCAAACCCAGAAAATCTAGAAAAATTTAGAAAAAAATCCATAAAAATTCTCAGATGATTCTAAGCCCTATCCGAACCTTTTATAACCCTGAATTCACCCCAGAAACTTGAGTTCACCTCCAGAATCCATAAATTAACTCCAAAATCCCAAGATCAAATCCTAGAAACCCATACTGCCAAAATTTTCCCAATAATTTTCTCTCCGTTCTCCTCATTTTTTCTATATGTTTCTATGTGTCAGAATCAGTCCAATTTATAGGCAGCCTGGGATCAATTCAAGAAACGGACAGAATTAATCCCAAGCTTGATTCATGGGATTCCATTCTGTCAAAATGAGATTTTAGGTCTAAATTTCAACAATATTCATTTGATTCTGTGTTAACCAAAAAATATGGTGATTCTGATCTACGGTCATGTGTGGATTGAGTAGAAAAGGAAACAAAAAAAATAAAAATAAAAATAAAAGTAAAAATAACAATAATAATAATATATGGTGATTTTGATCTACGGTCATGTGCGGATTGAGTAGAAAAGGAAACAAAAAAAATAAAAATAAAAATAAAAGTAAAAATAATAATAATAATAATAATAATAATAATAGAATCTAATTGGACCAAAATGGGCTGTAATGGGCCTAGTCGGGTTTAACCCAAATGGCCCAGCTAGGCTCAACCTAAGATGGGCTCAATTAGGCCCAGACCAAAATGGGCCCAATTGGGTCGAGATCAGAATAGGTCCAATTGAACTGAACGAGAATGGGTCCGATTAGACCCGAATCAAAACAAATGTCTTACTAGGCTTAGACCTAAATGGGTTCGATTAGGCTTAAACCAAAATGGGTGTTTACAGCTGTCCCTCTTTGCACATCTTTGTTAGACAAGGATGTTGTAAAGCCTTATACACCTACTATGGACTTGAATTCAAAAACTGACCTGGACTAAACTAAGGTTAGGAGACCATGATGAAACCACAAGCCAAATGAAGCGACTAGGATCGAGTCGAGATAAAAAATGAATGATCGGGATAAAATCACGAATCATGTGTTGAAACGAAACCATGAGTCTAAATAAAGCAACCAGGACCAAGTCAAGGTCAAAAATGAATGACCGGGAGAAACCATAAATCATGTGATCGGGACGAAATCACGAGTTAAAATAAAGTGATCAGGATCGAGTCGAGGTTGAAAATGAATGACTGGGATGAAACCATGAATCATGTGACTGGGATGAAACCACAAGTTGAAATAAAGTGACCAGGATCGAGTCGAGATCAAAAATGAATGACTGGGATGAAACTACGACTCATGTGATCAGAACGAAATCATGAGTTGAAATAAAGTGACTAAGATCAAGTCAAGGTCAAAAATGAATGATCAATATGAAACCACAAATCATGTGATTAGGATTAAACCATGAGTCGAAATAAAACAATCAGGACCGAGTCGATGTGAAAAATGAATGATCAGAATGAAACCATGAATCATGTGACCGAGACGAAATCACGAGTCAAAATAAAATGACCAAGACTTAGTCGAGATCGAGAATAAATGATCAAAATGAAACCACAAATAATGAGGAATGATCTGGATTTAGCCAAAATTAAATGAGTGAGATAATGCAAATGTATGCCTTATCTAGGATGCAAATAAATCATTGATTGTTGGTAACTATGGTTTGTATTTCTCGGTTTCAGAGAGAAAACCATCGGATACATATTTACATGTTCAGGTTCATTGTACACTTTAACGAAGAAATTCCCCTTCACATTTGACATGAAAAGCTATTTTTCATCAATCTAGAGGTGCATCTTTGGCAAAAAAACCATCTTTCATCAACCTAGAAGTATGCAAAGAAGCCATCAACCTGGAGGCATTTTAGTAGAGGAATTTTGCATCCACATGTCTACTCATCCAAAGAGAACCATGGAAATTTTTTTTTTAGGGTCAACCTTTGCCTTTATCTCTTTCAACCCTTCAAAATAACACACTTCTTATGATTTTGTTCAATTATTAATCATTATCCTAATTCTAAAGTATGATGATGCAAATTATGCATTTTTTCCATTCATGGTAAGGTATAAAGGAGAAGAGCAATGTACAAGATTTAAAGAATGCTAAGCTAGCTTTCATTTATGTAGGTAATCAATTACAAATGCCAGTGTGAAGAAAGAAGAATGTACAGGAGTGGTTATTTAGGGATAACAGTGCCTCCAAAACAAATGATTAGATAATCATAACAATAAATCTTTGATCTCTTTCAAAAACTCAATTAAAACTTGATGCCTGAACATTTTAAAGTTTTTTAAAATTTACTGCCTATGATATGCCTTCCCCAGTAGTGCCAATTGAAGCCACCTCCGAATATTTTCCTTTGAGTCCAAATTGCCCTTCTGGGTTTTCAATTTGACCTTTTTCTCTTTTTTTTTTTATGGTTCAAATCCCTCTTTTGGATTTTCAATTTGACCTTTCTCTTTTTTTTTGT